GGTTATATCTGGCTAGTGATGCCTTTTGGAAGTGGTTATTAATTATTTGGAGGGCCTTTTTTGCATCTGGGTTTAGATACCGTCTGGAGGCTGGGTTTTTGTCTCCCTTTAAGAGATCAAAGAGTGGCTGTAATTGACTTGTGGGGATGGAAAGCCAGGGCCTTAGCCAATTAATATTGCCTAGAAAGCTCTGAAGGGAATTAAGGGGCCCTTCGCATCAAGCCGGCATGTGGCTATCCGGACATGGAAAGACTACAACCCAAAACAGCAGGAGTCCCCAACAAGGATGGGTTCGGGGACCCACTGGACCCACTGTCAGTCAGACTTCAGCCAAAACTCCATTTATCACCTGACCTCCATAAGCCCCTAAATAACTGGAGGGCCACAATGCTTTTTAGGATCTCCCAAAATCAGTGTCAACTTAGAACCAGTATCCAATAGGCTGCAGAATGTCTGATTATTTCCTTTTCCCCAATGTACAGTTACACTAGTAAAAGGCCGCAGGTCCCTGTGGGGAATGATGGGTGAGAGGCGAACAGTATAACTCTTTGGTACTGTGACAAAGTCCTTCCTCAAGGGCACCCGGCCTTCCTTTCATTCAAGGGGTTCTGGGTCTGTAAACTGTCTCAAGTCTGGAAATTGGTTGATTGAGCGAGATTCTCTATTGCTACGATCCAATACTGACTTCCTGTCATTCGTCCTAGAGCTTTTCTGCTTATACAGATCAAATAAAAACTTAGTAGGCTTCTTATGTATGTGGTCCCGGGGAACACCATAACTGATTAGCCAGTACCACAGGTCCATTCAAGTCACGCCATTGTAGATATTGTTTTGCCTTTGCTGACCATTACGGTAAGTACGCTCACCTTGTCTTTGGTAATTCAATACTGCCACCTGACTCCTACTCCGAGGTCCTGTTACACCTATTATATTTACATTTAATTTATGCAATCGAGCTGCAGCATCTCCAACTGTAAGATTTGGCATAAGGAAAAGAGCAAAACCAAAGCTCTTCAAACGTTCTGGTATCTCAGTACTTTCCATCTTATAAAATCAGTAAAAGGCATGTCCTCTGGACCTTCCCATCGTGGAGGATTTGGTGTTGCACTGCAAATCCACTTGAGCATACCAATTTGCCTGAGCCTTACAATCCCTTCATCAACACTAAGCCGGGGGATATCAGGTATCTCCAGCTCTCTGTCAGTAGGCCATCTTCTGATAAATACCTTGGCCAACCAATCAAATAAACTTTTAACACCTTTTTTTTAACTGCATGAGCTTCCATATTAAACCTAGAATCTCCAGTCAGGGGGCCCATGTCAATAAACTCTGCCAGATCCAATTTTAAGTTCCTTCCACCATTATTCCATAACCTTAAAATCCATTCCCAGATATATTCATTAGACTTTTGTTTGAAAGAATTAGCAAATTCACTAAGTTCTTGAGTGGTGTAGCGTACCTCCTCATGGATCACACTTTCTATCTCTCCTCTAGGGGTCTGCTTAGCCTTGAGTCTGGTTATATGTCTAGAGGCAACAACAACTGGGCCCTGAGGGACATCAGCTTCATCTTGCTGAATGGGATTAGCTTCCTCAATGGGATTAGTTGCCTCAGGCAAGGGTGGGGAGGGTGAGTCTGCTGAGGGCCAGGAGATTAATTCATCAGGTGAATCAAATTCCTCAGAGTCTGAGGATACTAAATTCTCAGCCTCCTCAGGGTTCTCCCACACATCTCCATCCCACATGTCAGGATTCCAATCTTTTCCTACCAATGCCCTCACCTTTACTGCTGACACCCTTCGAGGCTGGGAATTAAATTTGCATTGTAGGTCAGCCAAGTGTATAATAAGGGCTCCAGCTTAATTTTCTGCAGCTTTAGCTCTCTGGCTGCTGGAGGTAAGATTCTCTTCCAGGACATACTTGGAAACATTTAAACTGTTGATTTGAATATGGAGCTTGTCAATTTTGTCATTAAGCTCATTGTTTATCTTCATCACTTTATCCAGAGATGCTAGAAGTAACCAGCCAGCATCATTTTTCTTATTTTTCCACAAATCGTCAAATGTTTTATGTATAGAGTCACTAAATTTCTTGCTCTTCACAAGAGGTGAGTTAGGAGATTCAAATGGGTCTATTTCCATAATTGTTTCAAATAGTCTACACCACAATTTTCAGTGCTCTCCATGCTATCTGAAGACTCTGAGTTTGAGAGCCTGCTCCAAATACCAACAAGCCCATTAAAGAAATTCATCCTTTCAGTTGTTTCTAAAGAACCACTCCTGGTCCCACAATCTGTATTAGTCAAGGTTCTCCAAAGAAACAGAACCAGTAGAATGAATATATATGTATAGAGATTTATCAGCTTAGCTCACAGGATAGAGTCCAAGTAGTCCACAATGGCTTTACCACACTGGAGATGCTGAGAATCTGTAGTTGCTCAGGCCACAAGGCTGGATGCCTCAGTAGGCCCAATCTGGCGCTGAAGGTCTGACAGATTCCAAAAGATCAGCTAGTCTTCAGTCTACAGCAGCAAGATAAACTCACCAGCAAGAGAGAAGGCAAGCAGCAAGAAGCCAGGTGTTCTCCTCTGCCTTGGCCTTTTATACTGGCTGCCATCAGAAGGTAATGCCCACATTTAGGGTGTGTCTTCCGGCTTTAGATGATCCAATCAAGAAGATCTCTTTCATTTCAGTTAATCGCAGATCTAATCAAGTTGACACCTAGGATTAGCCATCACAAGCAGCCAGTGCTCTTAACCACTGAACCCTCTCCAGCTCCTGTACAACAATTTTTTAATTTAAAAAAATCTCAGGAGAGATGGCTCAGCGATTAAGAGCACTGACTGTTCTTGCAGAAGACCAGGGTTAGAATCCTAGTACCTGAATGGTGGCTAACAACTGTAACTCCAGTTCCAGGGGGATCTGACACTTTCTTCTGTCTTCCTCAGGCACTGGATACCACAGTTGCCCTTGCATACATGAAGGCTTAACACTCATACACATAAAAAAAGTTTCACATTTATTTTGTGTATGTGTACCTTGTGCCACAGTGCACATGTATGTAGGAGGAAGTGCGGCCTGAACAACCTGCACATGCACTCTGCAAACGCGCCAAAAACATCCGGCTGAGTCAAACCTGTGTTCTGCCAAAAGACATAGAGACGGTTGATGCGAAATGGCCTGATACAGACAGCAATGAGGAATAGACACGACCTATCAATGGACCAATGGGACACTGGAAGGGGGATATAAGGGAGCCCCACATCCACAATAAACAAGTCTGCAGCTGCTCGCACTGCCTGCTTCTCACCTGACTCCCAGAGTCTGTGTCGTGACTCCATGGTGCCAACTCTACCCCCGCCCGGAGGGCCCCAGGACACCTGCAACACATGTAGACATCAGAAGACAACCTTCAGGATCTCTCTCCTTCCACCATGTGGGTTCCAGGAGTTGACTTCAACTTGTCAGGCTTGGTGGCAAGTACCCTTACCTGCTGAACCATTTTGCCACCCAGACATTTGAAATTTCTTTCTTTTTTCTTTTATGTGAAGGGGTGTTTTGACTGCATGTATGTGTACCATTGCATGCAGTACCCCTAGAGACCAGAAGAGGGTCTTGGATCCACTGGAACCAGAGTTCCACATGGTTATAAGTTGCCATGTGGGTGCTGGGAACTGAATCCAGGTCCCAGTGCTCTTAATCACTACACCATCTCTCTAACCCCCTAGATGCGTGAGAATTTTTAAATGCAGATATGTAATTAAAAAAAAAATCTAAGCCAGGTGTGGTGGCGCATGCCTTTAATCCCAGCATTTGGGAGGCAGAGGCAGGCAGATCTCTGTGAGTTCGAGGCCAGCTTGGCCTCCACAGGGAATCCAGGCCAGCTGGGGCTACAGGGAGACCCTGTCTCAAAAAGACCAAAAAAAAAAAAAAAAAAAAAAAAAAAAAAAAAAAAAAAAAAGAGAAAAAGAAAAAGAAAAATATCTAAATGTCAAGAATTCTAAATATACATATTAAATAAAAAAGAAGTAGGCTATGTAATAACTCAAGAGGCTGGTCAGGTATTCAGTGTAGAACTAGCACTGGAAGGGAAGAGCAGAAAAGCCACAGAAATCACATCCTCTGTTCTGCACTGAGACCTGGCAAGCTCCACCCTTCCTTCTTTCTTTTGTTCCTTCCTTCCTTCCTTCCTTCCTTCCTTCCTTCCTTCCTTCCTTCCTTCCTTCCTTCCTTCCTTTCTTCTTTCCTTCCTTCCTTCTTTTGACAGTCTTATTAGCACAGGCTAGTCTGGAACTCACTATATAGCCAATCATGACCTTGAACTTCTGATCCTGCTGATGGGATTACAGGCATGCATACCACTCCTAGTTTATGTGGTACCAGAGGCTGAAACCAGGGCCTGCGTATTCCAGGCAAGCACTCTACCAACTGAGCTACATCCTCAGCCCAGTTTTTCTTTATTTTTTGTTTTGAGATAGGGTCTCCCTGTAGTCCCAGCTGTCCTGGAACTCACTATGTAGACCAGGCTGGCCTTGATCACACAGAGATCTGCCTGCCTCTGCCTTCCGAGTGTGGAATTAAAGGTGTACACTACCACACCTGGCTCCAGTTTTTATTTCTTAAATAAAAAACAAGTAAACCAGAAAGTCATCTTAAAGCTATAAGCAGTCCAAACAGAAACTAGGAAAATAAAATTACCACATTTTTTGGTACAAATAATTTGACTTACAATTTACTTCTTTAAAAGGCAAGGCAGAATCATACTTTCTGATCCGTATCTCTGAAAGCATACTCAAGGTCAGAGCTCTTGGCTCACTTTAAACTTCTGAAGAGTTGACTTTGGCAGACTGGCAAGCTCCTTGGGGTCAGTGTGGTGACAACTGATGGAAATAAGAGCAGGTGGCTGAGTTGGCCAGAACTCTTTGCCTCCTCCCCCAGGCAAGAGCAACATGGTTCACTATCTAAAGTCATCAAGCAGAGACTGGAGGCAGATTTCATGGTAGGTAATCCCAGTGAAGGAATGGATGAACTCAGCTGGACTGTCCAGGCCCTTCTGCTGACCAGAGATGCTAGCAATGGATCGCCAAGCTTCCATCTACTAATCAGCACAGTGTATTCAGTTCTTTTGATTAAAATGGGTTGGAAAAGCCATCACTGGTGGGAGAAGGAAGCTACTTTATTGCAATGATGGTACTGTAAGAGAAAATCAAAACAGCACAGAGCAGCAGTCTCCAACAGTCACTTCACATCTGTCAACTTTATAGTCCACGCAAACTCCACTGGGAGAGCATGAGGTGGCAATGAGGGCAGAGAGATGAGGAGATCTTCCTGGGGCTCTTGGGTCCACTTCAGATCCCCTTCGATTCCCAGCATTGTTATCTGCAGGAAGCAAAACGGGAAGGAAGTACCCAGTCAAGCACTGATGAGCAGACTTTCCTTGAATATGGTGGGGAACAACTGTGCTAGGCCAGGGCAGGGAAGACAGGCCGTACTAAGGCAGAGATACGGGAAGAAGTGGGGAAGGAAGGAGAGAAAGCGTGCTATCATCTTCTCATAAGTTATATCAAGCAGGTGTGGTGGCACAAGCCTCAAGTCTCAGCACAGGGGAGGTAGAGGCAAGAGACCCTGAGGTTGAGACCAGCCTGGTCTATGTAGATAGTTCCAGGCCAGCTGGGGCTACAGGGAGACCCTGTCTCAAAAAACCAAAA